ATTTTTCTTCTGAAGCTGAACTGCATTTATCGGGTTAACTTCAATTGTCGAGGCTACAGGAAGTTTCCCGTTGTTGTTTTCACCTGACACTGTACCGAATTTATTTTCATCGTTAAAAAATTGTCAGATCAATTACGAATTCTTCGTACTCTTTAGTTAAATCAATCATTATTTTTTTTTTTTAGTTAATAACTGCAATGTCGTTGTTGTTTAAACAGGCCACGTTAGAGTATACAGACAAAATTGGTAAACTGAGTAAATTTAGTCGGAAGCAGGTCGGTAGTATATGTGTCGAATGAAGCTCTCAATTTTTTTTCAGCTAGTTTATATACAGTTCTTATGAATACTTTTAATGATCATTAAATCAATCATGTTCTTCTTCCGGCTAGATTCCATTACCATTTTCATATGACTCTGAACCGTTCATCTATATTGTAAAGTTCACCATCATAGTTCCTATCGGTATTGTATACACCATTTGACGCCTGACAAAGAAACATCCTGGAGAAAGTGTTGTCTGTATACACATAATTCACACATATCAGCCTTGACAAAATGTGTTGTATAGATAAGCTTAACATTAACCCAAAAGAAACGTTTATTAGAGGAATCTCTGCTATCAGTTTGTGTTGAGTATACGATTGATCGAAATTGTTCTGAAAAAAAATAAAATAAGTATAATGTAGTAAAAAAATTGAATGTTTAAGTTAATAATTGAAAAATATATATAGACATGAATTAAATGCTTTTATCAATGATTGCAAACACAAAAAAGTGACTTACCCAACCTCCTTTTTATATTAATCCATTCCAAAAATTCCGTCTTCACGTATTTGTCTACACTCTGTATTACTTGATCAATCAAATCAGATTTATTTCTATCTTTACATAACACAGCTAACCTCGCTCCAAACACAAAAATCATCATTATACGGCCCCAGTTTATGACATTATCGTTGAACATTTCTGTTAAAATGTCTTTGAAAAACGTCTCGATATTCTCATTTGAATCAAGCAATACGTCTCTACATAATTTATAAAGATGTTCAGTGTGCAATTTATACATCTTTTCGCAATATTTGAAAAACTTATTGTTCATATTCTCTATATATTTTATGTCATTGCCTAGTTTATATGGTACAAACGCTGAATTTATTTCTCGTGCAATTCGTTCAGATTCCATGCTCATGTTTCTTACTTCTTCATTTTCAAAATTCAGACTGCTTCCTTGTTCTTCAAAGTTATTGCCAAACAAATCCATCTTGGTAAGATACTGTAGTTTAAAACTAATTCGTAGTTTAGAGAATTGCAACAACGTACAGGTTTTTTTTTTTAAATTTTTTTTTAATGATGTTTCAACCTATGTTTTCACCAGAATATAAGCACTAAATTGTATAGAAGGATTAAGTGACGTTGGTAGCGTCTCTTCCTTATCTTTTGTTTTATTTCATTTATTTTCTATGTGTTATATAATTTAAGTGAATGAACTTGAATATATGACGTCATAAGCCTATTCACACTAATGCGGGAAATTCAAACCAAAAAGCCACCACATTTTAAGTCACTGAAATCTCTCATCCAATAGAAATTCATGCTTGTCAAGATGTATCCCTACGTCACAAACAATAATTCCTATTAAAGACACCGCTAATCCTATTGTTTATTCCAATTACATTCAAATTGTTTGACTTAATTCCTTTTAGCACCTTTAATGAATGCCTTATTTTTTTCAATTTCGAAGATATTCCAACACACCTTGCACTGCATCATTTCTTTATTTACCTATTATTATTTAAATTATTTTAATTAAGTATACTAGTCTTTTGTTATGTATTGTAAAGGATTAAATGACGTTAGTCTTATCCATTGTTCTAAAATAAAAGAGATTAAATGATGTTATTAGCGTCCCTTACCTACCTTTTGTTTTCAATTTCAAAAGATAATCCAACACACCTGGCACTGCATCATGACGTAAACAATTAAGTATACTAGTCTTTTGTTCTTTATTGAATAGGATTAAATGACG